GTGAGATCAAAAGACTCGTTCGGTCTCTCAATGGCACGAGATGGCCGTGTATCGATACTTCAAGGTATCGATACGAGTCGGAACATCCATACTTCGGGTTCGTTTAGTTTTCAGATCAGCTTTTGTCACTGGAGCGTTCGCTCTCTCGAAAATCGCGAGTGGCCGCATCGGTCGAGATTATTCGAGCGACTCGAGCGAGAACTTTCGACGGTGTTAATTAGTTTTCTGTACGACGACCTGTGCTTCAATTGAAATCTTACTCGCCAATTCTGCCCCCCTCCTGTTGGCTTTGATATCTTATATTAATTCGCTCGCGATTACGGGAAACATTTATTCCAATAATTAGTAATCTTAACGGCAGATCGACTCGATTCACCGCTCGGCGACTCCCATTCATCTGCCCGTAACGCGAAAGTTTTACATCGCTGCTTTTCATCCCCTCCGCTTTAATCTCTCCTTCGCGCCGTTTGCTCCCCCGTTTTAAATCGTCGTCACGAAGGAACTTACGCCGGAGGAACCGAACGGCGCGTCGCGTTGCTCTCTTTAACATCGCCGTGAATTATTTATTTTCAGGCCGGTTAACTTCGCCGCTCGGTTAATTCTCCCCCTCCTTCGCCGTGTCTTCACCGCGGGACTTTCTCCGCCGGTTTTCTTTCGTTCATTCTTTTCAATCCCGCTTCATTCGACATAGTTTTGTCTCGCGCCGGCTTTCCTCGCAGACGTCGCGCCGCGTCGTTATTCATGAAGACGGAAGAAACTCGTCGTTATTAAGGGATAAAACTTTCGCCTCTCCTTCCTCTCGCGGAGAACAGAGGGGGAAGGGAGGAGATGGAGAATGCACGTTTATTGTAACGTGAAATCATAAGTCTCTTTAAAATAGCCGTCTATACAATGTGTCTTAATAACAAGTTCAGGTGAGGAGGTGAACTTTCAAGCTCCCACGAGCTCACGTAAAACACGTTTCGGCCCCAAAGTTTGGACATACTTAAGTGTAATTTGCAAAAATTCTGCTCACACCGTAATGCTTTTCCGTAAGACGATTGAAGGATCGCTTCCCGTCATAATAAGCTTACGATGAATTTCTAATTGTCCAACTAAAGCACTCCCGTAACAAATATACGTCCGTCTTCTGCATTTAGAAACAGTTCAAGGTGAGTCGTGACTGGCTTCAACGATTAATTAAAAATTAAAATAAAAGATAAGATAAGAAATAAAATGAAACTGTACACGTTGCAAGATTGGACGTTACGTGAAGAAGAAAAAGAGAATATAAATACATTCCAGTCATCCACCAAGATCAAGAATCAACGAATGATAATTATTGAACTGTGAGAGACATGTGACTCAATCGGTGTTTCGCGATCGAAGCTAATTATTATTCGAAGTCTGCGAAGTTGAAATATCGATGACGCGCTCGTTTATTTCAATAAACGTGTTTGCGATCTCGACCAGCCAGTCACGATGTTTAATCAGTCGATGTTGACACATGTATCGCTTTTATTTTAACATATATACAGAGCGTCTCAAAATTCCCGCATGCGGGGAATGCAGGGGGATTTTGGATACATTGAGAAATAATTTTTTCCTTTCGTAGAACTAAAATTTCCCTTTACTAAAATTGTGTTTCAGCAAATAGTAACCGAGAAACAGGCGAAAAAATGTGAAAAAATGTGATTTTCACGCGAGCTAAACTTCGGGCGAACAAATAGGCAGTAAATTTCGATCAGTTTCAAGTAGACTTTACTTGAACAGAATTTTAACTTAAGTCTCGGCTTCAAAAATGTGTTATGTTGAAAACTGAAAAATTACTATAAATAACCTAATCTTCCTCGATATTTTCCCTAAGGAAAAAGTTACTTCTTCTTGTACGAAGAATCTCTCCATATGCATTCCGCAGGAATTTTGGGACACTATAGGGAGGAATCTTGTGATCTTCGTCCCTGAACACAATAAAAAGTGCCCGATTTAAGTACGCAACAATACTTGACCGTTCTCTATATCCGATTCCGATCAATCGGAAACTGTTTGCGTGCGGATATAAAGTGACAGTCAACCACAAACAGATTACAATATTATTTTTTACTTATTTCTTTATAAGTTTCATCCCGTATTCGGTAAAGAAAATTTGTCTTTTTCTTTTAGCAATTCTCAGGAGATACATTTTCCTATTGGATGTACGAGATGCGTTGCGAAGCTCATCGAAAGACCGTGTCGCAATCTCTCTTGGACCGGCCGTACATACCTCGGTTGCCGAATTCAACCTTATCGTAGGATAGAAAAAACCTCCATGACAGCCGAAAATCGTCCGAGGGAAATTGCGCGAGACCTATTCTCGACGAAAACACGACCGATCTCGAAGCGCTTCTCGCGAACACCGTCGAGATATGCGAGGGAAATATTCCGTCCGACGAGAAGAAGATTCTGGAAAACCGAGACGCGTCGGTCCGAGCCGGAAATCCCTGTCTCCTCCTTTGCCCTTTTCTCAATTAGTAACTGTTAAAACCAAAACAATATCTTCCGTGTCGCGCTCGTTGCTTTCATTATCGAACTAACCCCGGACTTTTCGAGCAATCCGAGCAATCCCCCGCTTTTCCGAGACACTCTCGCGCGCGTAGTTCCCGTGAAATTCGCAAAACAATGCCAGACATTGCGGCTGCGACGCGGTTGCGACTGGAAAATTTCAATGTCCGCGCAACGACGGGGCGAATTTCGTTCGACCGGTCGCTGAGGAACGCATGCCCGCCGCAAATTGAGCGATCGGGCGAGCCGCTAGAGCGCCGGGATGATGGATCCGATTAGTCACGGATCGTCTCATCCTTCGGTCCTAACTTCCCCGACGTGGAGTTAAACCGCGCACTGGCAGTGCGATAACTCGATCGAACCAATCTACGCGATACCATCCGGCCCGCGCTTGCATTTGCTCTCTCGCCGGCGCGCAAAGTAAGTCGAAATTTCGTCCACGCCGAGATCTCGCGCAAGTAATCGGCAGCGAGTTGGGAATCCGGTGGTGAGCGAATCGTCTTCCCTGCTAAACACTGTAATTATCACGAGGCGAGATTTGGAAGAATGTCGTGAGCTTCGATGCCTCGAGGAGCCGATTCTTTCAGGATCTGAGGGATCTCCTCGCGGAATCTTCGCTGATTAAATTCGCTCCTCGGTTGACGGCCAGATGAAACTTGCCCGAGGAATTTGCCCGGGAAATGACTTCGGGGAAGTTCGTCCTAGAGACAATCGCACACACGGAGGAGACAAATCTGCCCGGACGGCAAATTATTTGTTAATACAGCGAAAAAAATTTCCTTGGACGGCGGGGAAGATTTGTCAAGAGTATTAAGGAGGTTCGGTAGTGTTAGCGGGAGGAAATCTTAGAGAGGCAAGGGGAGAGAGAATGTCTGACAACGCCGCAAATTTTTTCGGCTGCTGACACGTCGTCGTCGTCGTCTATTGACATTGTACTTGTGTACTCTATTAAAATTATTATAATTAATAAATTGAAAATTGACTGTAAAAAATAATTTATTTGTTAAATTTAAATGAATGTACTTGTTGAAATCGTGTGATTTTGATGTTTAAAATGGGTAAAGTTAAAAGAAAAACAAATAACCTTCAAATTACTACGGATGCTGCTGGCAAAGAAAAAATTCGTTTTAATGGAAAGTTTGTTAAAAAATTAAAAGTAGATAGACACTTACGAGGCAAAATGTTAAGTGAAATGAGAGAAAAAGCTCAAAGTCTTAAAAATTCTTCAGTTGAAATGAACAAAGTTGACATTCCTGTTGACGGTGAAAGAGTTGTTAATTTCGATTGTATGGCCAAGAAAATGTTTTGCAGTACATGTAATCATAAACTACATCTGATATTATTGACGAATGTGTTCAGGGATTAGGATCCATTTTTCATGTCAAATGTGAAAAATGTTCACATGTAAACAAAGTTGAATTGAGTGTAAAATATGTATCTATGATATCAGTTTCGCTTATAAAAAAATTAAATCAGAACGGAGTTGCCTATGAAAACATAATTGACAAATATTTCGAAGGAATTGACAAATTAAAGCCACTATTGATGGGAGTAATCCCTTGATAAAAAAAAATCAGTATTATGGATAAAATTTTGGAATTTTTGAATATTTTAGAAAATATCATCCAAGATAAAATATGAGTATAATATATACTAGATTAGAAGTTATATAATACTGACAATGAGTTATTTTAAAATAGATTTCAAACATATAGAGAAAATATAAAAAACGACTCTGGTCAATTATTACATAGTCATTATTTTCTAAAATAATAATTATTATAAAAGTATTAAATTTTTCTATTAAAATGTTGTAATGTGTTAATAAAAATAATATTTTCAATAAAACGTTTTAAATTACAAAAGAAGTTGTTTTTACTATACATTGAATTTCAAAGCGCGCACCGAAAACAGCGTTGCCAAGTCGTCTGCTGCAACCACATTTTTATCTATTTTTTAATAGAAATTTGTAGTGGGGCTCGCTCAAACTTTGACAGAATATTATTTTAATAATATTCTTTCATATAAAAAAAAAAAGCATCTTCATTGAGCCGTTTTTTTTTTATTTGAATTTTAAGTGATTTCTCCATAAGCCTACATGTTAAAATGTCGTTTTTTTAGGTCAATATATCTTACAAACGGTGTAGTGAAACCCTTCAAAAATTTAGTTGTGATATAATACTATTATTCCGAATAATCTATTAAAATTTCAAAAATTTTCATCATAAAAAATCATTTGCTATTCGCTGGATATGCGGACAGCGAAATAATTTGATCAGGCGAAATCAATATTATTGTCGTCGTAACGTTTTGCCGTAGCAGCACGATTATTTTTCTCGCAAATTCTTTCGTCGTATCAACAAACAATTTGCCCGTCCCAGCAAGATTTCTTCTCTCCGTGCGACTTCTGCGAGAAGTCGCGTTGAGAATGTACTTCTATTCCGGATCTGACTGTGTGTGTCTGTTACATTTCTTTTCAGACTAACGATCAAAGCGGGTTGCCCGATGAATCTCGAGGATTTCCCGATGGACACGCAGAGATGCCCGTTGCAGTTCGGCAGTTGTGAGTTCAGCGAAGATTTATTTGTTCCACGGCCTGCGCGGACTTCTTCCTTTCCTCGTCCGCTTCTTCCCCTCCGATGACACTCCCTTATCGATCGGCAGTAAGGAGAGATCTCGAGGGCTCGCGGTAACGGGATGCAAAATTATTCGTCCCTCGGGTGGTCTCCGATCTCATAAAAAATCGTGCAGGCAATCGCCATCTCGCCCGATCGATCTTAACGCATTCCGTTGTGGCGTTACGGGTGTCGAACTCGAAATTACGCCGGAACCTTATTCAAATTAGATACACCTCGTGTGAAATCTAAAATGCAAATTCGAGGGACCGGTGACACACGCGATCTTCGTGTAGATATAAAAAATCATTCCGATCGGGTATAAATTTGTGAGAATTTCAATCTCATCTTCGACGAGACGGCTCCGCCGGCAGCTTGTTTGTCTCCCTCGCCCGAGATTTGCGAACAATCGGGAGGGGATAACGAAGGGCGGACATCTCGATCGTCAATTACCGTTAGACGACACTTGGTCGATCTCACCGGCACAGCAGAAAATTCATCCGTTTACAGTCAGCTACACGACGCGCGATGTAATCTACAAGTGGAACAGCGCGCGGCAGGTGGCTATAGCGGAGGACATGAAACTGTCGCAATTTGATCTGGTCGCCAATCCTACCGCTAATCACTCGTCCGCACCGGGTCTGTCGCACGGTGAGTGATATTCTCCCGAATCAAGAACATCCGGCCGACTGACGGTTATCTCTCCGCGCGACCGGGGAGCACACGACGAGCCGTACAGTCGCGAGTCGCGGACGAAAGCGGTGTGCGAGCCGGCGGAGAAACAAAAATATATGAGTAAACGAACGAGAGCTGAACTCGTGTTGTTCGAAGAGAGTAGCTCCGGGGATTCGTTGCCTTTTGTGAAACTGCGTAGGAAACCGGTAAGATGCGGTAATTAGATCCCGCCGAGCGATCGGGTTACTTGTGCCGCGGCCGCGCGACGCCGTCGCTCGGAAAACGCAAAGAACCGGTTCGATCGGTGACGTTAACGCGAAGTTAACAAGCCGGATGAGGGCGGTGCCGGCAATGAGAATTTAATGGCGCGAGACACGAAACCTCGAGAACCTCGAGACCACTAATCACGGTCGAGTGGTGAGAAGAATAATCGATCGGTCAGTTTCTCGCGGATCAAGGCTTAAAGCCGAATTACTTTCTTGAACGTTTTGACGAGAGCGAGCGTTTGACTTTTCTTTTCCGATCTGACCGAAAGGCGTCGCATCGTGGATCTCTCTCAGTCACGTTAAAACGCACATTTCAGCGGAATACTCGATGCTCCTGGTGTACTTCCACTTGCAAAGGCACATGGGTAACTTCCTAATACAGGTATACGGTCCGTGTGTCCTGCTGGTCGTCCTTTCCTGGGTGTCCTTCTGGTTAAACAGAGAAGCCACCGCCGATAGAGTATCCTTGGGTAAGAGAAGCTATCCCGTTGTCCATTAATAATCGATGTGTTCTTTGAGACTTCTGCTGCGTTGTAATATCGTTTTGCCTCGTCTGAGAGAAACCGGCTCCAAAGCATATGGCTAACATAAGCAAACGTTGACGGTTATATCGATCACGTATGTTACAAGGAGAATTAAGGATTTTTCTAGGGCAAAACAAATCCTACAGCGTTTAGAAAACAATTCGAGAAGCGGTGAACGCAACGGAGAACTACGTAGATGAAAATGATAAAATGATACAGTCGTGTTTAATGAATTATGAAACAAAATATCCCAGGTTTTCACTCGACTCGTACATCATGTATGTCATATTATGTTACGTCACGTATGTTATATTATCACGTATGTTATATTCGCCCAACATACGTGATCAATATAATTGCTAACGTTCGTATGTATTTGCCGCATCGTGCGGAGCCGGCTAGATGCGTGCCGCGAGAACGTGCATAGATTGCATGATAAAGCGGCGCGGACGAAAGCCGTCAAAAGGAATCTGCACTAACCGCGAGCGCGGGAGAGCGTACGGGCCGCGTTTAATTTAACAGGCAATCCTTTCCCGACGCGTCGGCAATTTCTGGCCTCGCTGAAGTCTTTACCCAGTTAACACAATAATATAACAGCTTATATACGTACGGATTTCTAAATCACGCTTTGTATAGCGTGAGAGTTATTTTTACGTTGTTTTTATACGAAAAATTTCACCCTTTTTCAGAAATACAAATAATGTTGCATACATGTTGCTTCGTGGATGTCAAGCGGAGCCCACAATGAGAATTTAAGGCGTAAGCCTTAAGAAATTGAATCACAGATTTAAAGCTTAAATTCTCAGCGGGTAGGCCCCGCTTTACATATGTGTTATACTTGAGGTCGTCTTAAGTTCATCTTCAGATACTGTACGGCTCACTTCATTGGCGACGAAACATCTGAAGACGAACTTAAGCTGGCCCTAGATATAAGATCCGATTACCACTCTGTAACTATGATAACATTCTCGTCATACAACTTTTTATTTTTCAGTCTTATACACGTGAGAGACAAAATATCTTAAAACAAACGAACATTTCTTCGATGAGTCCTTACATGATATTTACTCAAATTTAACGTTTACTTTATTTAAATCGAGTATTATTTATTTAAACCGGGTAAACATTGTTCGGTATAAAGAGAATTTAGATTTAAGTCAATATCGCGCAAGGACCCATCAAAGAAACATTCGTTCGTTTTTACATATTTTTTTCTCTCAGCGTAGCAGCAACTTTGACCGCGTTGATAAGGTACACTTTAACGTGCGTCAAGAGTCAAGAGTCAAGAGTCAAGTGTCCGGTCTTGATTCGCATTGTCGCGAATCAGACGTCGAGTTTTACCGTCTGCCAAAATCATTACGCGGCGCCAAGGGTTCTCGAGTCCGTCGAGATTATACGTGAAGTCGGATCTTGAAAAGAGCATTGAAAAGAGTTTGAAAAGAGTTCGAACGGAGAATTTGTACAAACTGAGTGGTCGGTATGCAATTAAACAATCGAATGATTATTTTCCCGCTCATTTATATCGACGCCAGCCCTCGCAATTGCGCGATTCGATCGCCGCGTCGCTCTTTGTTTCAGGCATAACCACCGTGTTGACAATGACGTTCTTAGGGCTCGAGGCGCGAACCGACCTGCCGAAAGTTCCTTACCCCACTGCCCTGGACTTCTTCGTCTTCCTCTCGTTCGCATTCATATTCGCCACTATAATACAATTCGCTGTGGTCCACTACTTCACGAAGTACGGGTCCGGCGAGTGTTACTTCAGCTCCGACCTGAGCGACCTCGACAGCTCGAGCGAAGAGGAAGAGATGGCTAGAAGAAGACCGGTGAAAAATCAAACGGTAAGTGTCCCCTCGATAAAGCGGTATCGTTGATTTCGGATGTATCGGCGCAAAAAGATATGGCAAACTGACATACCCATATTCCTCGGCAGAAGTAGAGTATTCTCAGCAATTCATTCTCAACATTTCAATGAGATCATCAACTAGGCTTCAGAGCCCGAAAATGGTTTCGCCGGTTTCAGTGCTTCTCCCCTATTACTGCCCGTTTCGTGCCATCGAATCGAACCGTCGAGTCGAGATCTGCGAATATCGTGAATTACTAGTCCAAACTACGTCCAAACGTGAAAGAAAAAGAAAAACAAACATCTCTTCAGGCTCGTCGGAAAAGCTGTGCGAGTTCCGGCGTACGAGGACGCGACGGCCGGAGCTTCACGATGAACGGCGACGGTATGATCGAGGTGATACCGCTCTCGGCGATCTCGATACCCGACAAGGACCCCGCGGTCGGTCATTGGCAAATATCCTGCGTGGCCTGCAGCCCTCCGCCGCGACAGCCGCCGCCGCCCAGAAGAACGACGTCGGACGGAAGACGACGCCGTCGAACACCGAGATATAATTCCGTATCGAAGATCGACCGTGCCAGTCGTGTGGTGTTTCCCCTCTTCTTCCTGGCCATCAATCTCTTTTACTGGTACGCGTATCTGTCGCGCAGCGAACGGATGCAATACTACAATTCCAATGTCGCGTGATCACGCCGAGAGCAAAAGCGCGAAGGGAATTCGAATTAGCGCGATGCGAGTGTAATCAGCGTACTGCGATTAGAATTGTCTGCATCCACTTCGGAAGGCAAATACGAACTTCGCGCGACACCTTGCGGGGGATGAGTGAATACAACCGATAGTAGTTACCGTACAGTTAAAAACTTTACAGTGTTCATCGTTATCAACGCGACCAAAACTCGATTACCGATATAAGTTGTCAAATGTAAAAAAAAAAAGGTACATCGACAAAAGTGCACATGTAACTTTCCTGATGTATTACATGTAAATTCATTTATTTATGGGAACATAAAGTAATTTGAAAATATTTATTCTGCACTGTTGATCGAATTCTTCGTTCATCCCGCTCTCCTCCCGAGAAGCGGAATGTGCGACAAGGACAGGACTCTGGCTGATATATGTGTGTATATAATAAAAACTTATTTATTAGCAATAGACAATAGGATATTTTAACAGTCACATCGGAAATAATATAAACTAAATGTGTTCACTTACGTATTACGAATTATTGGTATAATACATATAGAGCCAAATTCCCCCCTGCCCCATAAGAGTTCCGAATATCTCCACACACTTGAAAAGTATGCGAATAATACTTGCTTACGTACTTTACAATAATCCCATCCCTAAATATGTACAATCATTTACAAGAAAAAAAAGTTGCAACATTTCTTTTCCGATAAGTCTCACAATGCGTTTCGTATCCGACGAGAAAATGTATCTTCTAAAAGCTGTTAAAAAATAAATTCTCCCACTAGACACGNCCCCCCCCCCCCCCAAAAAAAAAAAAAGCGTTGCAACCCTCTTGTGACTGACCGTACATACATGTGCTGTGTCAGATAAATGCATCCGAAACGAGACAAAAACATACGATGACATCAGATATTAACACAATGATAATATAGGTACTCGTATAGTTTTTCCTAATTAAATTTCGTTACATAAAAAAATATGTTATACGGCATTCATTTTTAAGCGTGCTTGAAAGTATTCGCCGTCACCTTTGGTCGCTTGTCTGTTGATTTCCTTGTGGCGATCACGGCTCACTATCTCTTCAAGAACTTCCCCGTCGCCTTTGATTAATCTGCGCAAAGCACGCGGAAAGTGTTCAGTTTAATGCCAAATAAATGAGCCGAAGGAGATAACGTTATAATCCGAGGATATAAAATGTTAAAACAATACCTATCTTGGTCTTGGTAAGCAATATATTCACCTGTACCTTCCGGTCTCTTTGTCAAGAACTTTCCGCACGATGTTCTGTCTTTTCTCCCATTCCTCCTTCGTCATGGGCGCCATGGCTTTCGCTTTCTCCGCTATATTGGGCGCAATCTCGTTCGTGTTCTCTTTACCAGCCTTCTCCTTGGGTCTCTTCTTGCTGTGTTTCTTCCTCTTGGACGCGGTTTTCTTCAGTTTCTTCTTCAATTTCTTCTTCACCCGTTTCTTCTTCTTCCGCTTCTGCATGGCCTTCTTCTTCAATCTTTTAGCCTTCTTCAAGCCCTTCTTCCGCTTCTTCTCGGCTTCCGAGCTGCTGCTGCTTCTGCTGCTACTACTGCTGCTGCTGCTGCTGCTGCTGCTACTGTCTGTATCGCTGCTGCTGCTACTGCTGCTGCTGCTGGAACTACTGCTGGTGCTACTGTCACTGCTGCTGCTGCTGCTAACGCTGGAAACGCTAGAAGCTGACGATGATCTCTTCTTCTTTGGCTTCCTGCGACCGGACTGAATCTTGTCTCGTGTTTCCGCCTTTCTCTTCCCATGTCCGACAGGAGCCGCCTCATCCTTAACTGACTCGCGCTTCTCCATCTCCGATGTGGTTTGCGACTGTTTCCTATGCTTCTTCTCTCGCACAGACTGACTAGTTGTATCTTTGCTTGTATTCCTATGATAATCATGCATCCTTGATCGGCTATAACCAAGTGTTCTCTTGTAACCTCCATGATACCCTCTTCTGTCACTGTTATGTCTATTGTAATGGACATTGTTATACCCGTCCCTTCTGTCATAACCGTGTCTGGAGTGTCGTGAATCCATGCGACCACGGCCTCTCTGATTTTCGGAAAAATTACCATATCTTCTATTGTACGATCTGAAGTCGTTACTGTACTTCTCACCTCTCCTCTGAGATTCGGCATAACCATTCTCATACTTCCTAGTTTTATGTTCCACGTCCTCGCTTCTGTTATTCCTAGCTCTACGTGTATTCGCCTCCGGACTCGAAGCGCTGGAAGAACTAGAGCTGTTAGAACTACTTCGTCGCTTCGACTTCTTTCTTTTGTCTTTGCTGCATAAGTTCCGTCTCTTTTTGTTCCTCTCGGAATCGTTACTACATGCGGATACCGATCGCCTCTTCAGTTCATTCTCTTTCGCTGCTTTCAGGGACAATTCCATAACTTCCATCCTCTCCATATCGTGTTCCTTCGAGTCACTCATGATTATTCTACGGGACACAAATGTTGATCATAATAAATCTTATATAATCAAACGGATTGTAAGAAACGATCATAAATGGATGAGACATTCGTCATTCTTAAATAACGAGGATGTTGGCTCTGATAAAAAAAAAAATCTATTAAAAGAAAATATCAATATTTACTTACAGCAATACGCTACGAAAGAACAACCTGAGTTACAATCTCAAGTTACGGCATCTAATCGTGTAACATTGTCGAACGAAGAATTCTTGACATTCATTTACAGATTGAAAAATTGATAATTAATAAAAATGTACCAAGTATACATTCCTCTTCTCCGAACTTCTAACCGCTTCTAACACCCGCATCGATTTCCATTGCATCGTCAGGCCGGGTCTGCAATAGATGTGGTAAGCCTTAAGTCATAAGGAATTGACCAATCACAATCGACTATATAATCGACTTCTCACATTCGACTGTGATTGGCCAATTTCTTACGGCTCATACCTTTTGCAGATTCGGACTAAAAATAATAATTGCGATCTAGTTCGACTAAAACGAACAAACCTACTTTCCACTTTTCGCGAGTTCACACGAGAGGAAAAAGATTCTATTGGTCTGTTCTTTTTAGCTGCACTCCTGGACTAGTGCAATAAGTTCGAGCGGGACAAAGGTTGCGTTCTCTTTGGACGCTCACGCGCTGTAAACGCTTATAAGCGCTCACGTTTATACGCGCTATTTTCAGCCGTTCCTTTTGGTTATTAAGCACTTACATCGGCTGAACGTGGTGACAGCCGGAGATTTTAGACTCAGGTAGTAAAGATGCAACCCAGTAGATGCTAAATATAATCTCAGCGGTACCTCGGGACACAATATTGCGCACAATAATAACGAAGAGAAAGGTAAGATTTGTTTATATAAAGAAGAATTTAACTGACATACCACTTTGTCTTTGGGCTTTAAAGTCCTATTGAAAGTGTGAAATTAAAATGTATGTATATGAGTACAAATTATTGACAATTCTCTGACGAAACATACGATGATTTTATGAAAGTGAGTACATATTTCCTTGAAAATTATTGCTTTCTAAGATGATTGAGGTTTTATCCTTCTAGGAAATTATGAAAAAAAAAAGGTTAATCATCTTGAAATTACATTATCTTGTATATTTATTACATATCGTTATCGCGTCGCCGCGATATATTTCCGAGGGTCTCCTGTATTCAGGTATCGCCAGCATCTGCCGCGCGAATGGTGCCCATAGTGGAGCCGGACATATTGACGACCGGGGATTACGACATAAATCGGGCTCTGCGAGCTCACCAAGAAGTATCGTCGATTCTGTTTCTCGCGCACCACGTGTATATCTCGAGGGAATGCGTTCGAGACCCGCGATGGCGTTGCCGGGACTCGAAGGCGCGAAGAAATACGCGGGTGTCGTTCGATCGTATCTCGATAGGACGTTATATTCTTTCCCTCGCCTCGCGGATTCTTTTCATTTCCTTTCTTTTTATAGATATATCGCGCGACCATAGACGTAGCAAGGAGACGAATTTTTTTCTTTATTATACTATCCCGTCTCGATGTCACACGCAAGCGGGCACGGTTTTGGTTGGAGCGTCGTCGCAGCGAAAGGGTTAGTCGCGACGAACGTTGCGGATAAGTCGCCGTTTAAAGCGGCGAAAATTCGTAGTTGCCGAATACACGCTGACAGCGTTGCAAAGAACAATCCCCGTGGCGGTCCCGGCGATATTCTTTTTCCTTCAAGCGGTGGCCGGACCGTCGAGGGATGATAAGTCTGAACGCTATTAATATACGCGACGATAAGAAGCGGTGAAGATCGAGTTTCTGTCACGGACGAGCTCTGCAGGTGCACGCTAACGTTCTAAAGTACCGCACGTCTACTGCAAAATGCAATTTTTTTACTAAATCCTGCATCAACGGGTGCAACGTTTTAAGTAACGATTGCGAAATGTTGGAATAGTAACGCAGAAGAAAATTACAAGCTGCAAATTCCGGCTTGCCGCGATTTATTATCATATGGCGGGCAATACAATGTTTGAAGATGGAAAATTCTGTTTTGAGGATACACGTTCGAAGAAGAGCTAATATACAAAATGAATTTAGACGTAAAACGGTCGTAAAACGGGATATGAACACATTAATGCATACATTTGCATTCATTAATATCCGCCGACACCCCTTTTGGCTTCAATAACAGCTTGGATTCTCTTCGACGTGCTGTCGATCGGGCTTTGAATAAATTAATAGTTACTTAATTCATCGAACGCATCAACGTGAAATTTAAATGCAAACAATTTGCATTTTGCAATAGACGTGTAATATTTTATACGGAACACCAGTTTATGTGATTTGCTCGGTGAAGTCGCTGTTAGGTTTGTACCAGCGTTCACTTAAATTCGGTCAAAATATTCTCGAGCTATTCCGAAAAAATGACGGAAAGAAGGATCACGGAATAAAGGGAACAGGAGCTTTTGATGTGCTCTCTTGTACACTCCGAGAAGCTTTAGGAAGTTTCTCATGCATGCGGAAATATTTCTGTCGCTCTACCTTTCTGACGTTTGTCATCTGCTCTGCCGTAGAACGACGCATGTACGCTACTGCAATGCCGAGAACGCCGAGCTGGCTCAAGCGAAGCTTCTTGAAAGGTTTGAATTATGCTCCGACGCGTCTTCAAGAGCTTTGCAACGAAACGTGTGTATGTGTGTACGCTTGCAACACCATCGACATCGTTTAAGAGTAAAAATACTACAAACTTACGCGGAGGAAACAAATTTCGCTAGAACAGCGAATGTTTGTCGATGCAGTGACAGCGGAAAAAAATCTGTTTCGACAGCAGGAAGATTTGTTCAGAGAGTTGATTGCTATTTGCTGGATATATGGACGATTAATAAATCTTTAACAAATCTTTCCGCTGTTCGAGCAAATTTTGTGCTGTCTAAACAAGCTTCTTTTTTACCGTCGCTATATTGACAAACGTCTGCTGCTCTGGCGAAATTTGTTTTCTCCGTGCACAACAATTTAATCGGGTACCTTGTTCTATATTATTCCATGTACAAAGTACTCATCGGGTTTTATTACTCTCGACTAGATTGAAACGACAAAAAAGACAAGCTCATATCAAACATATTTTATTAAGTTATCGATGATTTTTAATAAACAACGTCTGATTTATCGTCTGAACGAAGAATGTGCGATTCGGAGATTTTCAAAGTCGCGGTCAGACACGCTGAAGTTTCCGCACGGTGTTCTCTAAAGCCCCGATTTTATTCTCGATGCTGGAGATAGTCCCCGGAAGCGTTAGATATTCTGACATTCGCGTTTCCTTCGAAGTCCATATGGAAGAATTCGTCGGCGGGCAAACACGTCTGCGCTTCGCTTTCGTGAATGGCGGTGCAAACACGTCACCGCGTTGGCCTTCAAACTTTGAACAGTTCGCAATGCGAAGAAGAATGAATCTTTTGAAGGAATCGTATCATCTCCCATTCGGCCGATCCGCCGATAAGGAACGAGATTGAAGTCTTGTGAAACGGATGTCGGGTCGAGCCCACTTTATCGGGCTATCAGACAGCTATCGACAAACATGGAGACGATGGAGAAACAGGATGCACGTCCATCGCGCGCACGAGAGCGTCAACCTTTAACCCGGGAATAGTCACCTTGTTATTTTTACTCAAACGATCATCTGGGATCATAGCCTATTCTCGTTGCACAGGCTAGGTCTCTAAATGTTTAAATAAAAAGTACATATTGGTTCTCAATCAGTAAAAATAAATCCACTGCGACGTGAGCTTCATTTTCTAATCGATGGGGTATGAAATGACCCCGGGTTAACGGTGAAAAACTGTCCTACCTGTCATATCTCTCTCTCTCTCTCTCTCTCTCCCTCCTTCCCTCCCTCACTTTCCCTCTCTTCTCGTTCTCTCTTTGATTTTAGCTGAATGTCGAGCAAGGTGCCTTTGACTGACCTCTAAAACGACGGTTCTCAATCGGCCGAGCTGTCGTTACACGCGAAGAACGGACTCGCCTGTCTGCTGGTCGATATGACGTTATCCTCACCCGACGATGCTCCAATGCCCTCCTTCTTTCTAGATGGTTCGCCACCACGTGGTACCAGTGACGTAGCAACGAAGAGGAACACGATATACGCACGACGACATCGCTCGTATAACAGACGCGTCGAAAAACGATATCAAGAAGCAAACTGCCGTCTCAATTCACCTCACAGGACGAAGCTTATGACCTCTTGTTATCAAAACTAATCTATATCGCATCTCTTAGACGCTTTCCATCACGATGTACATTTTGAACATTCGGCAAACGCAAAGATCACCGACTTCTTGAGCCGTTTCGTAAGACCTTTCATCGTCCCGAAGGAACTAACCGGAAATTGCGAAGAATTTATCTGTGATCGCGTAACGAAATGAAGTCTCTCCTCGGACGAACAATTCGATTCGACCTCTCGCCTTTCTCCCGTCAACCGGCCGAAAGCCGACCGGCTGATCGTCTCGACGGGCACGCAGTTGAGCACCGTGCGAACGCGGGGAAAAGCGCACGCGCGCGACAAACACGCATTTAGACTTTGAAACGGAGTACGACCGGTCTCAGTCGCACTCCAACCATCAGGCGGGTTACACGCGAGTAGACGTGCGCGCGGCTTCCACACACACAAATCGGTTTCACAGATCCACAGGCAAGGTGAGTCCGCGGCCGCACGCGGGAAAAGTCGTCCTCGCGTGCGCCGTTCCCACGGGTGTATCGATCGTCCTTTCGCTTCCTGGGCCCGAAATTCACAAACGCTCGGCAACACCTACGACGACCTTCGACCTTGACTGACACCTCATCGTCGCCGTCGTCGCGCGGCTCGTGCGCGCTCGGTAATAAACGATTATCATGAACCGCCTCTGCCGTACCGTTGGAATTCTAAGATTCCTCTTATCATTTCTCGTCGTCGATCTCCGTCGAGATGTTCTTGAATGTGTGTATGTGTGCGTGCGTGCACGCACGTCGCGAGAGCGTACGGGAGATATTTTTGTAACGCCGGTTTCTCTCGTCGAGAATAGTTTTCGGGGGTTTCTCCGAAGGTTCTGATTTTTCGCGCCCCTCCGTCCAAATTCAATGTGCTGACGTGCGACTTCCGGGAAGACAACGTTTCTTATCGCACGCTCTAATTCAGAAAACACAGTTTCACGCGGCTATTATAACCCAGTAAACGAGAAAAATCGTTAACACAACGTTATTATATTTTGTAACATTTTCAAATATGCAGTTCTTAATGTTGTACACAACATCATTGTTAACAATATCTGATACATTGAAAATAATATTTATACAATATGATTTTGATATTTTGAAATATTATATCATCA